GAGGGAGGGAGGGAGGGAGGGAGGGGAAGGAGGGGGGAAGGAGGAAGGGAGGGAGGGAAGGAAGGAGGGGAGGAGAAGGGAGGAGAGGAGAAGAGGAGAAGAGGAGAAGAGGAAGGGGCTGGAGAGATGGCTCAGTAGTTTAGAGTACTGTCTGCTCTTTCAGAAGACCCAGGTTAGATTCCCAGCACTTACATGGCAGCCTACAAACTGTCAGTAACTCTACTTCCAGAAGTCTGACACCATCTTCTGGCAGTAGCCATGTACAAGGTGTACACACAAACACACAGATAAAATACCCAGACACATAAAGCAAATCTTTTAAAAGAAAAAAGACAATATGCAAGCTAAAAAAAAAAGAGAGAGAGAGAACCCACTCCTGAATTTCATAGAAAATTAAGGTGATCCCGCAAAGATAGTTCAGGGGGGGAAAGTACTTGTCTGTAACTCTAGTGATTGGGAACTCATTGCCAGTTAGCCTGACCAAAATGCTGAGGTTTACGGATAACAGTCTACAAAAATAAGGTGAAGAGCAATCAAGGAAGACAATCATCAAGTCATACACACACACACACACACACACACACACTCTCAACCATACAAAAGATGACTGCCCAGAAGGACACTGGGATAAAAGCACTAACATTATTCCAGACAGTGAGTTGGACTGAAGAGACATTGAAAAGTAGCATTTCAATTTAGTCTAGGAGACTAAAGCACTGTTATCAAGGGGTAAGAATGATGTCAGGAAGACCTGCTATATGTGAACGTCCAATGCAATAAAGTAGAAAGGAGTCGGTGTGGCAGAAAGGGAGAAAGTGAAAGAACAGCAGTCCTCCTATTCTCACTGGTAGCAATGACACAATATACATCTCAGGACTGCCTTAAGCAAAATGCAATTTCTATAACCCCCACTACCTCTTTTGCTTTCTGTGTAATACTTCATTACAGAGAATATCCAATCCCCTAGACTGCAGGGTTTTGTGTTTATAAAGAACATAACTCCAACAGCACAGATTTTATTCTCATACAATGAATTTTTCTTAGAAATGAACTCAGGGCCTTGTACATATCAGGTATCTGCTCTACCACTGACAGTCCAGACTGTCTACACATTAAGTTCTAAACCAGCTGTGGTCACAATGTAAAACCCTATCTCAACTAAGGCAAATCAAACTAGACCAAACCAATATTAGCAAACTATGAAGAATATCCAAAGCAAGAACTGAGAATCAAGTGTGATGGTGCACACCTGTAATCCCAGCACTTAGGAGGTGAGAACTGGAGCATCAGGAATCTTGGCTAGCTTGGGCTATGACACTGAAGAAACATGGCCTTAGTGTCCTTCTGAGAATCTATAAGGGGTTTCAAAAGATAATCGATTTTTAAAAATGACATCATATTCAAAAATTTTTAAATCATACAATTATAATGGCTACATGATGTAATGTTATTAGAAAATAATACAAAAATGTCAGAAAACAACCAGGGACAGGAAGAAATAGTGGTAATTTAGGGAGAAGGGCTAACGATAAACAAGTTTGGGATGTGGAGATCTAACTTTCTTTTTTTTTTTTTTAAAGATTTATTTATTTTATGTATGTGAGTACACTGTTGCTATCTTCAGACACATCAGAAGAGGGCATCGGGTCCCATCACAGATGGTTGTGAGCCACCATGTGGTTGCTGGGAATTGAACTCAGGACCTCTGGAAGAGCAGTCAGTGTTCTTAACCACTGAGCCATCTCTCCAGCCCCGAGATCTAACTTTCTCATATGGACAAAAACAACAGAATAATTACGAATGATCTGAAAGCCCCCAATTAGAATTTAAGTATTCTTGTGAACTCACAATGTTTTCCCGTATATATTATCTAGCTATATATAGAAATAAATATAGCTACTTATTTATAAACAAGCAAATAACAAAATTCCATCAATTCTGTTCTCAGGCTGGAGAAACAAATCTCAAGTTATACACATACCCCGAGAATTTAGTTTTCAGGTACAATTTTTAAAAGATTCACTTTATTTTCATTATTTTTATATGCATGGATATTTTGCTTCCACATATGTCTGTGCACCATATGTGTGCCTGGTGCCTGAGGAATCCAGAAGAGGATGTGGGATCTGGAGTTACAGATGGTTGTGAGCCACCAAGTGGGTGCTGGAAATCAACACTGGGCAGGGCCACTGGAAGAGCAGCAGCCAGTGCTCCTAATTGCTGAGTCATCTCTCCAGCCCATGAGTGACTCTTATAAATGAAGAAAAACAATGAATAAAACCAAAAGTGCTGTATTTTAGAATTTATCTCAATCAAAGCATTAAAGCATACAAAACAATCCTTTCTCCTTTTGCCCTATAGCACATATAAAAAGTCAGAAAAGAGACAAATCCCAAATCCTCATAGCATGTGATGTTTTAAGCAGGTTTTAGCCCATAGCATTTAAGGGTTGACCTGTGTCAGGGTCACACCCTTAACAGTCCCCTCAATTAAACCTCCAGGAGCCAGAGAGCAAATAGCTTTTGGTTGGCCATGTTTATAACCTATCCAATAAACAGGGGAGATAAATGGTCTAGTAAAGGAGGCAAACCAGACTAACTTACTTTAGGGTATCCAACTAAGTTCTATGTTAAATAAAGGGAGAAAAATAAAGGGACTCACCCACACTGCCAAGCTGTTTATAAAACCTGTACTCTAAATGAAGCTGTGGAGCACGTGATTTTATTGGTTCCTGAAACCCAAGAAGAAAAACTGTGATCAAATTTCAATAAATTAACTTTTTTTCCCAGTCATAGATTTTCAGCATGAATAGAGCAAAGATCCCTTAATGTTTTGGAGGTGATCTCCACATGATACTCTGTTCTTACCACAGTTGTCTTTGGAAGTGCAGATAAAAGAAGATGAGCTGGGTGTCTCACAGGCAGGCAGACTCTCCATGAGCCATCACTCAAGGGCAGCTCTCCTGGCATGAAACACTCTTACAAAATGTGCTCTCTTACTAGTCTACCTTCTTTCCTTCTTTGCCAATAAATCACTGTATATTTAGGCAGGATGACTTCAAAATCTCAATCCTTCTGCTTCTCAGACTGCTAGGATTACAGTAGTGCACTATTGTGCCTGGTTTAGACATCAAATCTTAAAAAACACAGTGGTTATCTCTTGCTTGTATTATTATGAACTCTGGGTGGTAAACAGTTTGAAAAATTAGTACATGTTAAAACACATTTTCAAATACATAAAATTTAAGAAGAAAGAAAAAGTAACCTGAGGATCTATTATTTTAGATAGCCATTATTAAAGCTTTGGTAAATTTTGGGGGAGAGGGTAATTTTTTTTCTTTTTTGAGGTCATGTACCTTGAATTCTCTACATAGTCCAGGACTGGCCTCAAACTTAAAAATCTGTCTTAGTCTCCAAAGTGCTAGGATCAGAGGTGTGTACCACAATGCCTGGCTCCAAGTACTTACCTGGATCTATTATACAGATCATTTTATATGAAGGAGATCTGATTATATTTGCTGTTTACTATGTGTATGAGGTATGAACAGTTCTACTGGTTGAAATACATTCTTGTGTATGCATATGCTTACTGTTTTCAGCTTTCAATATTACGAACAATGCTGTTACAAACTTCTTATGTGTATTTTTGTTTAATCTTGCAAGAACTATAAATGCAACATAAATCAGTAACTTTCAATTAATGTGGTGTTCACTTTTTTGTTTATTTTAAGACAGGGTCTTTTCATGCAGTCCTGGTTGTCCTTGAACTCACAGAGATCCACCTGCCTTTGCCTTAGTGATGGGATTAATGGCATATACCACCACCACACCTGCTTTTATGTGTTTAATTTTCAGTAACAGTAATTTCCTTTCTTATTTAGGAAGGAGGCTTTTAAAAGGTTTCATTAATATATATTAACTGTATAAAATAATAGATTATGCCATATTCATATATACATATATAATGGATATACACACACACACCACTGCCCACTCTCTTTAAAGCAGGTAAGTAACCACACATTGCTCTGTCACACCTAAAAACTGAGTGACTAACTGTTCTAAACTGATGTGTAATATTGGCAAATAGCTAACAAGGCAACCAAAGGTTATCTAGCCTAAAAGATAAAAGAGTTTCTTGTCAATTTGGTACATAAATGATAGGCAAAATGATAGGCAAAAACCAGCACCAAGTTGTCCCCCCCCCCTCAAATTATCACCCAGGTGTGGTGTCACCTGCCTTTAAGAGGCAGGCAGATCTTTGAGTTATAGGACAGTTTGGAATACAGATCAAATTCCAAGCCTGCCAGAGTTATATGAGACTCTGTCTCAAAGCAAAACTACAAACATACACACACGCACGTGTGCACGCACACTAAAAAAACCCTCAACTAACCATCCAACCAACCCACAAGGGGTGGACTCATGCCAGAGGATCTTTATTTGAATTTCAAGCTAGAAACCTTAACAGAAAATATTCAACATAATCTTCGATAACTTAGTAAAAAAAAAAAGAAAACAAACAAACAACAACTAATCTTCATAGAATCCCAGTGTTGGGAGCATGCTTATACCTCACACATATTCACACAAGATGATTTCGTTTCTTTTGTTTTGCTAATCATAGGATGCATAATACCCTTCAGCCAGTCTCTTGAGCACATGGCTGAAGCCTACTCAAGCTAATATGGCTTCAGGACTTAATTTGGAAGCATTAAAACTATAAAGCCAGGCGGTGGCGCACGCCTTTAATCCCAGCACTTGGGAGGCAGAGACAGGTGGATTTCTGAGCTCGAGGCCAGCCTGGTCTACAGAGTGAGTTCCAGGACAGCCAGAACTACACAGAGAAACCCTGCCTCCAACCCCCGCCCCCCAAAAAAAGAATATGAAGCCTTCCAAACATATAAGCAGTAGTTTAGAGAAAAGTAGCAAGATAAGCAACATACACAGGCTTTTATCTTACTTCTAACTCTTCCTAGATTTAATTAATAAAAGAGAAATTCAGCCCACTATATTGTTTTTACTTTGTATGTATATGTATGCACTTGTATACCTTTTTTATCTTTAAGACAGGATCTCATGTGGCTTAGGCTAGCCTTGAACTTGTTAAGTAGTTAAGGATGACCTTAAATCCCAGATCTTCCTCTCTCTACCTCTTGAGAACTGGAACTGCTGCCATAAAACAGACACCCACACTGATTTTTGTTTGTTTTAAAGAACTATTTATTTTATGTATATGAATACACTGTAGTTGTCTTCAGACACAACAGAACGAGGGCATCAGATCCCATTATAGGTGGTTGTGAGACACCATGTGGTTGCTGGGAATTGAACTCAGGACCTCCAGAAAAGCATCTAGTGCTCTTAATCTCTCTGAGCCATCTCTCTAGGCCCTTGTTTTGTTTTTTTGACATTATCTCTCATTCTATAACCCAGGCTGACCTAGAACTTTTGATGATCCTTCTGCTTTATCTTCCAAGTGAAATTACAGATGGAAGTCACCATGCCTGGTTACTCAGCATATACGTTTAAGATCTACTTCATTTTTATTCATGTGTTTGTGTCTCTGTGTGTATGTATGTGCATATATGTACAGTTGCCCATGAAGGACAGAAGAAGAAGCTGGATCCCCTAGAACTGAAGTTCAAGATAGTTATGAATCACCTGACATGAGTGCTGGGAACTGGTGCTTTTTACTCTTCAGACACTTCTGCAGCCTCGACTTTGCATATTTTAAAAAGTCTTCAATCATCTCTTCTTCTTTTCTTCTCCTTCATTATTATTTGAGTGTAAGGGAGGGGGCATGTGCGAGAGAGAGGTGGGTAGGCAGGACAACACTTTGGGAGTTACCGTTGGGAGTTCTTTACTTCTACATTTATACAGGTTCTAGGTATTGAACTCAGGTTGTCTGGACAGAGCTGCCCCAAACGGCCTTACTTTGTGAACTTTTAAAAGTTCTTAAAAACTTAAAGGTAAGAGCTACAACGAAGATCTAAACAAAGCAGAGTTGAACCAGCAGTACCAGACTTGTGATGGCACATACTCTGGAAGCAGAGGCAGGCAGATCTCTGAGTTTAAGGCCAACCTAGCCTATAGCCTGAGTTCTAGGATAGCCAGGACTACACAGAGAAACTTTGTTTTGCAAAACAAAAACAACAAAAACAGTAGTATCAAGTTTCTTGCAATTCTGTGGCAGATGTGAGTGCCTGTGAACAGAGAGCTGGCCATCTGCCAGAATCATGGCTTTTCTGTAACACACGAGCCTGCCTGAAATCCTAGACCAAATGACAGATGGCTGTCTTATAGGATCGTGATACTTCACAAAAATGTTGCTTACAATGAAAGGAGATCAATTACTATTGTTCTATGTCCCTTGAATAAGTTCAACAGCAAGGGATGAGATGTACAGATAGAACTGCTATGCTCTAAACATGATTCTTCTACCTTCCTCCATCGTCCTTGGAATCCAGGACCCCACTCATGTTAAATGTGCACCCATCACTGAGCTACAACCCGAGTCCCCAGTCCTACTCTATTTTTTGGAAAAACAAAGCAGAATAAAGTTTCATAAAAGGAAATGAAGGAAGAGTGAAATGTCTGACAACGATATTAATATGTCTGACTTATCTCTATATAGGTCAAAGTGGTATGAACTTAAGAGAAAAAAATTTAGACAGAAAGCCTCAAAAGAAGCCATGGGCCGGGCAGTGGTGGCACACACCTTTAATCCCAGCACTTGGGAGGCAGAGGCAGGTGGATTTCTGAGTTCGAGGCCAGCCTGGTCTACAGAGTGAGTTCCAGGACAGCCAGGGCTGCACAGAGAAACCCTGTCTCCAAAAACCAAAAACCAAAAAAAAAAAAAAATCATGAGAAAAATATAGGGACAATGTCAAGTATACAGTCGGAACACAGAATTTTAAAAGGACAAGTTTTTATATTGTTTTAGTTTTCTTTGTGTGTGTGTTTAGTTTATTGAAACTGGGACTCACTATACTTATTATATAGCCCAGGCTAGCCTCAAACTTACAATACCACTGCTTTAGTGCTGTGGTTGCAAGTGGGCACTGACACTCTTGGCTTCGAGTGTTATATGGACTCTTTCTTCCTGTTAAGTAGCCTCAGATAATTAAAGATTAGTCTGTGTGGAAAAAAAAAAAAAACCTCAAAGGGCAAATGCACTAAAGAACACGTTCCAGAACTAAATTCCTCAACAGAAAGCAGGCGCACGATCCCTTGCTCACTTAGGAGGCATGTGCCCGGAATCACTGCACATCCTGCCTCTTCCTGCTCTAACTCCTCCACCAAGAGCTCTAAGTCAAAGACAAAAGCAAAGCAAGTGGAGTTGCCTGTAATCCTAGCCATAAATTTATGGTCAGCCAGGCTACCTACCCACTGAGAACTGGCCCAGCCAGGGCTACAAAATGAGATCCTGTCTCAGCAAGAATTAAAAAAAAAAAAAAAAGGGGGAGGGGGGTAGAGATCAGGATTTCACTGTGATCCTTAAGTATACATGGAGTTTAAGACCCAGCCATGTATACCTACGGATCACATGAAACAGCTCAAAAAGGGGACAGAGCCAGGAGAGTTTCAGAGAAGCCTCTGGTTTTAAATACCAATATATGTTCTCTGCTTAATAGAGAAACTAACCTAGCAACACCAACTTTTCCACAAAAGAATCCTAACAACCCCACAAACTGACAAGCTAAAGACAATAAAAAGACTAATCAGAACAGGAGAGGATGTTTTTGTGGGAATTTTGTTTGTTTCTTGAGATAGAGTCTCTAGGCACAAGCTACCATCTAACTAGGTATGCATCTTAGAAAGATACTGAGTTCCTGGTCTCTAGCCTCTGCCCTCCAATCCCTGGAGATAAAGAAATGCAGCACCATAACCAGTTTAACAGCTTTTTGCTCTGTTCTGTTGTTCTGTTCCTGTTCCTGTTCTGTTCCTGTTCTGTTCTGGAGGCAGGGTCTCCTGTAGCCCTGGCTGACCTAGCACTATGAAGACTAGGCTGGCTTCAAACACACAGAGCTCTGCCTGCTTCTGCCTTAAACTCACACTCAGTACACACCTGAGGGTGACACTGAACTCCTCACTCTCCTTTCAAATGCTAGAATTAAAAGATTGTGCAGAGCTGGGCAGTGGTGGTGCACGCCTTTAATCCCAGCACTTGGGAGGCAGAGGCAGGTGGATTTCTGAGTTCCAGGCCAGCCTGGTCTACAGAGTGAGTTCCAGGACAGGCAGGGCTTCACAGAGAAACCCTGTCTCAAAAAAACAAACAAAAAAAAACACCAAAAAACAAACAAACAAACAAACAAACAAAAAAGATTGTGCAGAAACCAGGTGTGGTGGCTCAAGCCGTTAATCCCAGCACTCTGTGAGCTCAAGGAGCCTGGTCTCCAATACAAGTTCCAGTGCTGTTACCCAGGGAAATGTTGTCTTGAAAAACCAAAATCAACCAACCAACCAATAACCAAAAACCAACCAAACAAAAAACCATGGGAGCGTGTGTGCACACGCACACATACATACACACACACATACACACACACACACACAGAGTCAAAATACTCGTACTCATAAAGTAAATCTAAAAACAGTAAGAAAATTAGGTACCAAGTTGGACCCATGAAAGAAAGTCCAGAGAATTACTTATTCTTTCAGCTATTTTTTAAATCAATTAACTTTTGATGCATCTTTGCTAGTACTTCAGTTAGTATACCATTTATATACAACATTTACACAGTATCTACTGATTTATCATTATAACATCCTAATAGACAAAAAATGGCTATCTGGCATCACATGCACAGTAAAAATAGCAGCGTTATTGTGAATGCTTACAATGATTTCCTGTAAGAAGGCATTAGCAGTGAAAACACCAAAACACAAATACCACAGCACACATGTTCTACTCACCAGCTTAATGGCTACATATTCATTGGTGTAGAGATTTTTACCTAAGGGAAAAAGAGAATGTATATATTTAGTGATATTAGCTTAGAAGGTCATGAGAAAGGTGGATTTTCTAAGTGGGCTCAGTACAGGAAGCCAGCGCTAAGTGAAAAGCCAAACAGAGATAATGAGAACCAGCAGGGCTAGGACAGAAAGGCTGAGAATCTAAAAATGTAAGCTACACAAGAGACTGTTTTGTTTTGTTTTAAAAAAGGAGAAAACCAACAAAATCCACCCCTTCTTCTCTCCTTTATGTCCTCCCCCCATAAAGCAACCTAATTGTTACTCAGTTATTATGGCATTAAGTTAACTGAGAAGAAATGCCATAATTTCAAAGATAGAAATTTAAACTTAGTGAAGGTTGGAGGCAGAAAAACCAGGAATTCAAGGTCACCCTTGGCTGAGTTTAAGGCCAGCCTGGACTACATAAGTTCTTGTTTCAAACCTTTTCCCATCTCTAGAAAAAAAAATTAAACTCAGATCAGGGATGTAGTTAAGGAGGAGGAGGAGACAAGGGACGAATATTTAAGGTGAACCAAGGTAGTAGTCACATTCAGCAAAGGAGCAAACCTGGATATCACTGTGAACAAAGAAAAAATTACTGTAGGTGACAGAAGGACCAGAGAAAGAGTCTGGGAATTCACTTTTCTCCCTTTGATCTCCCTTCTCCACAAAAATCTCAAAGAGCAAGTCGTATTTTAAGAGCCAAAGACTGGGCAAGATCATTTCAGGAAGAGGAAACTGCAAAAGCAAACAAAAATAAAACCAAAGATGCTATAGACTCAGAGTGGTGCAGTCCTTAAGTTTAGTGAGTATCAGGGAAGGATAAAGACTGGCAAGGAGTAGTTAAAGCAAAAACTGAAAAAGGTTACAGCTGTATTAGGAAAACCTCAATACCATTCTAAGTCTAAAGCAGAAGGCTTGGAGGAATAGTGATCACATGCTCAGATCTACAACCCTGAATGATTATGTATGAGGTAGCATAAGAATTAACTAGAAAGTAGGAAAGGGGAAGTAAAGGAATGCATCTAAATGATTTATTACCCATCTCATACAAGCACCATCCATTCTAGATGAGCCACAGGCAGTTCTCCAACCTCAGAGAATACGCCCTCGCTTCTCACACAGTCCAGTGTATGTGATTAAAAACTCAGCCAATAAATTATATAATGTGATGATGCTAAAACAAAAATATAAACAAGTACATAGAAGAATCTGGAAAATAGAAGAAAGTATCTTTGGGTACAAACATTTCAAGCCAGAAAGTCAAGTAACCTGAAAAATAAAGGTTACTTCTTATAACTAAAAAAAATTCCAGGTACAGCCTGGTGACACATACCTTTAAGCTCTAGGATTGAAAAGTAGGAGGGCAGGTGGAGCTCTGTAAGTTCAAGGCCAGTTTGGTCTACATAAGCAGTTCCAGGCCACGTAGAGCTACACAGTAAGGCCCTACCCTATCTCAAAAGAAAGAAAGGAACCTTTGATTTCTTTGAACACTTGCATTTTTTTTGTTGTTTTTTTTTGAGACAGGGTTTCTCTGTGTAGTCCTGGCTGTCCTGGAACTCACTCTGTAGACCAGGCTGGCCCAGAACTCAGAAATCCGCCTGCCTCTGCCTCCCAAGTACTGGGATTAAAGGCATGCGCCACCACCGCCCAGCGAACACTTGCATTTTTAAAAAACACGTGTCATTTTTAAGATACTATAGATTCATTTTAATATAAATATTTTTCCTTAAATCTACAAGTTAATAAAAGGTCAAAGAATAATGTGTCTTATTTGCTCTGCAGCTTAGTACACAGAGGCCCTGATCTATCACAATATGCTGAGGTACACATACCTGCAGAGGAAGGCTATCCAAGGGCATGCATAGGCTGTCTCTACATTTTCTAACATGTCACATGATCAGATTGTATTTAGGTGTATTTCCGTGTGTGTCTATGTCTGTGTGTCTGTGTGACAGAGACAGAGAAACAGAGACAGAGAGAACTCTCCCTGAGGATTAAATTCAGAGCCTTGTGTAGTAGGCTTGTCATTAAGCTACATCTCTAACTCATCAACACATCTTATTTCCCAGCAACAAACACAGTACCTGACATATAGTAACTGATGTCTGCTAAAGTGAATCAAACTGACCTAGTCCTAGCTGGTGGGTCAAATTACTAGGAGGTGATTAGATCAGAAGAGGCTGACTTAACAATCGATTAGTTCAGTGGTGGATTCATAATTTGATGACACTATTGACAAGTAGTAAAAACTAGAAAATGGGGCCTAAGTTGATCACCAGGACATACTTTTGAATGGTCTCTCTAGCTCCTGGAATATCCTCCTCTCTCCCTCCCTGCTCCTCTCTTGGGCTTATTTTCTTCCAGACCCAATAAGGTGCACAGCTCTGTTGCACTGTACAATTTAGTCATATGTTCTGCTTTACATTGGCCAATAGCAACAAACACAGGAAATTATGAACTGAAGCATTTAGAACCATGAACCAAATAAACCTCTCATCTTGTATGCTCTTCACGAGAAACTAACATATGGATAAGTTTTTATTTCATTCTTTAGCTTGCTGAGAATCACCAATAGTCTTATGCTAAGAGAAAATCAAGTGGCATTTTAAAAGTATTATCTTGGCCCTACAGTATAAAATAAAAGAAAATAACTAGGGGAAAAACCAATACATTTTCATAGCACAACATTTAAAGAACCACACTCCTGGAACAGAATGGTTACAAGGATTATGAGCTAGAGCATGTGAAAATCCTCTGTAAACTGAAAAGTACTAAATAAATCTAATTTTCATTATTATTTTAAGTATGAGGTAACAGCCCCCTCTAAAAAGACTAAAACAGATAAAATTTATATCACAGATATTTTGAAGAGAAAAGATAAGCACCTCCAGTTTACATTTAATAGGAGATAAGAAAATAAGAGCCAAAAGTTATGTCCTTACGCCAAGTGTGGGAGCCCATACCTTTAATCTAGCACATGAAAAATAAAGACAACAGATCTTGAGTTTTAGGGCAAGAGAAGAGGGAGAGAGAGAGAGGGAGGAAGGAAGGGAGGGAGGGAGGCTCTTAGGGAGTGGAGAACAGAAAAGCCAGGAGAGGAGAGGAGGGGAGGGGAGGGGAGGGGAGGGG